GAGCCCCCTATTTGCCCTCCCCACCAAACGCACCGCTCTGGGGCCAATTTAGCAATCAATCACTATTTTTCTTTTCCCCTTAAAAAGAAGAAATCCCTGCAGGGTGTTACCCCCTGCTCTGAACAACCCTCCCGGCTGTGGCTTCTTTGCACGAAAGCACACATCTGCCTTGCTGCTCTCGGCTGCTAATTCTGGCATGGAGGCAAGCGATTTGGAAAGGCAGATCTGGGATCCCGGGAATGGGAGGGCTCCATGCTGGCTGTCCGCAGCACCCATCGCTGCCTTCCGGCACAGTATGATGCAGGGAACAAAGCCCCACCAAAGGACCACGGCTGCCTTCCCCAGGCCCCTGCCATCGTGCAGTGGTCAGGGCTGCCAGAAGATGGAGCGGGGAAACACCCCAGAAATGCCAAGAAGCTTTCGGCAAAGAAAAGGCCATGAAGACAGCTGGGGATTTACAGGCCAGCACTCCAGGTGGGATCCGAGCGCCTTCTCCAGTATGTGATACTACCATCATGAGAAGGTTTCAAGGACCTGATTTTATAGATGCCTAAATAAATACATAGGAATTGATATATAAAAACACAGCGTATATTTATCTATTTTGCAGGGGGAGCGGGATGTAATTAGATGGCCGCATCTCTCTCAAGGCTATCCCCGCTGTAATTCATGCCCCGAGGCGGCCAGCCAAGGGGAGGAGGAGGAGGAATAAAGCAAGCGGCAGAATTGATGGGCTGCTCCCAGAAGCTTTGTTTTAATTATTTTCCAAAGCGCTCCTTGTAGCTGAGCAGGCAGCTCCTTCCAAGCCTCCTTCCCCCCGCCGCTGCCCGTGCTCTCATGCTTGTGCCGGCGTGGGGTCCGGGGCGGCGGGGTGAGCCCGGGAGCCGGCCCTGCTTCTTCGAGCCCCCAGGCTTTTTGGTTAAAGTGTGCAGAAGCTGTTGCTGTTTTTAGACAGGGGGACTTTTCCCTGGCCGAGAAGCCTTTTTGATGGCCACAGCGTGGGCAGGCATATTTGTCAGGGCTTTTCCCCTTTTATTGACTTTCTGTTTGTTCCTGCTGCCAGGGGTCAGATGGGGCTTTGGCTGGACTTTGCCGAAAGTCCACCCAAAACAGCCGGTTACCAGGTGCTGACGCAGTGCCCTGCCCCTAAGATATAAGGGGTCTGAGAACTGGGTTTGCAGCGCAGTTGGGTGCGTGGTGACAGGGCTGGGAAGGGGCTGTACCAGCTCCAAAGCTCTTCCCGAATAAGTAGGCTTGTGAAGCTAAACTGCGTTTGCTGGATCCAGCAAAGTGACGGCAGTAACAGCAGCTCAGCGCTGAATTAGGGGCGGCTTGGCCAATATGGAGGGACCCATCCCCGGCCAGGAAACCATGCCAGCTGACACGGAGCCCTCCAACACTGTCAAACTGCTGCACCTGGTTTTCCTCTCCACCTCCTGGGGAATGCAGATCTGGGTGACGTTCGTGGCTGGTAGGTTGCCGTCCGTGCACACCGCCGTAGCTCTCTGCCCAGTGGGAGGCCCAGGGGAGGGGGCTCTGCCCCAGGACCTACCTGCTCTCCCCCCCTTGCAGGGTTCGTGATGGGCAGCCGCCTCCCTCGCCACACCTACGGCTTCATCCAGCACGAGCTCTTCCCCTACTACTTCCACATCGGCTCCACTTGTGCCTTCCTCAACCTGACTCTATTTGCCATGTACCACCCCAGCGAGCTGCTCAGCGATGAACAAACAACCCAGGTAGCCTCCTGTGTTAAAAGGCGAGCTGGCTGTAGCTCAAATCCCTTCCTCTGCGGGGTCCCGCTCCGCTCTGCTCCACTGAGGCTGGTTTGCAAACGATGACGAGGTCCACACATGGCTCTGCTTGAAAGAAACCAGTTAGCATCCAGATTGCAGCGAGCCTTGTGTGTAAGAGGGGCTGGGGGAGAAATTTAATCCCCAACAGGTGTGAGATGTTCACGGCGCGTGTTGCTCCCCTGCAGATCATCGTCTTCCTCGTTTGCGTCGCTGCTTCTGTGCTGAACACACAGTGGTTCGGGCAGGTCACCTCTGACATCATGGCAGACATGCACCTCATCGAGCGCAGCCATGGCCTCGGCCAGGAGGTCGGGCTGTTTACCAGCAAGTCCTGCAGGCAGCTGCGTGCCTCCAACCCCAGCTACAGGCAGCTGTCCGGCCAGCTCACGCTGTACCGCGCTCTGTCCTCCCTCTGCAACCTCTGCTGCATCGCGTGCAACGGCTTGAGCTTGTACTACTTGGCTGCCCGTCTCTCTGCCCTGTGAGAGCAGGACACGGCGAGGCGAAGGCTGGCTGGCCAGAACCAACACGCTGGGAAAAGGGAGCCATCCTGCTGCCTTGTTGTAGAGTAACCCTAAGCTTTGGAGATTAAATTTCAGTATCCTCAGATGGAGATACTTTTAACTGTATTCGTGCATGGTGCAGAAATTTAGGAATAGTGAAATGGAAATGCTTTCTTTAGAACTGTCTGAATCCAGCTCTGGAGTGAGAAAAATCCTCCATGACTTAAGCAGAAGT